AGGAAGATTTTATATGCCATAATAAAATCATATGTATAAACTAACATTATTTTAGTTTTCATTTAAAAATCCTTGAAAATATAGGTAGATGGCATAAATCTGAGAATTTGAAGTATCTACATTTTCAAATATGATAATATTTAACATGAATATATTTTAGCACATGAAAAATTTCCAAAAAGATTTAACTTATTGATAAAGTTCATTGCTAATATTATTAGAAACAATGAATTTCTCTGTAGTAGAAAAAACAATTCTCATTATTACAATTTCCTACCAGATATATCATAAATTATACTTAGCCATAGTAAGTAGCATTCACAATGATAATATTCATTATTTCAATTTTCCCAGTTCCTGAAAAATATTTCAATAAACTCATTTTTTATTAGTCTATCATACAATTTTCTACACATTTCATCTATAGTCAATGTATACTTTATACAGCATTCTGTAAATGCATAGCAAAACTAACCTTAACTTTAAATCACAACACCTAATAAAAATTACGGACTTCAGCAGACCTCAAATTCTAGCTTCATTACTTGCAAAATCATGTTAGTTGAACTTTATTTCTTGAGCTGTTGACAATGAAACTATTTCAGATGAACATACTGGGATAAAAATAAAGCACAACATTTCCTTTTGTCAATAAAAACTGATGATGCTTCACCCACAACCCTCTGAAGTCTCCTTCAGAAAGCAATAATCAACCTTTGCTTTGGTTCATCATAGAATGTATCACAATAATTACAATTTTTATAGATTTTTCTATGAACAATAAGAACATTTGCATCAATATTTTATTAATGTTTAATGTACTTAAATACATGCAGAACAGTGATGTAATACTTAAATGGACAAATTGCACATAAAACATTGTTAGAAAAACTGATAATATTTTCATTTGAAATAAAATTGTTGATCTGTAAACATATTCACTTATGTACATTCAGCATTTGTTCTAGAAGAGACAAGCAGAGAAACAGAGGGAAGAAGTAGTATTGAAATAGTTTGCTGGTATTAAAAAAGCAATTCTGAAATTGTATCTTTGAGATAGCTGGCTTGTGTTGCTTGCACTGAGTTTCAGCCACATTGTTTTAGAGGGAAAAAAGTATTTGTCTTTGTGAACATACTCCACCTGCACCTTTTTTGTCCTTGCAGTGCAGGCAAAATATCTTTGTATTCTCTTAAAATAATATTAACCATTCAAATGGATAAAATTTGTAATGGAAATGTTTTCCTAAAGAGCACAGTGTTGCATTATCTTCATTTAAGTATTCAAAATATAAAATAAAACCAGAAAAATGAGACAAAAGAGTAAACTCTAGAAAACTGTTAGAGAAACAATTTTTTTTTTAAAGTCCTGGATTCTGAATGGGTGCCTCAAGGGGTCAAATTGAAAGGAAACAAACAATATTTTGTGTAAATAAATATATTTGCAGTTTTATTTAATACCATGGTTCATACCAGGCATCTAATTATTCATATTGTATGCTATATAATCACACAAATAATTTAATCAATTTTGTAATAGATTCAGACATTACCACCATCACCCATGAATACCTCATTGCATGTTTGTAGAGAATACTCAGCAACTCTTGCTTTCCTTTCTTAGATAGATGGTTCTACTACTGGGCACCTGCTCACAACCTAGACCCATTTTTTAGGCTAATTAATAATCCTGTCAGTTATCCTCACAATAAACTACAACATTCAGGCATGCCGTGTAGCCACCTGAGCATTTGACAATTCATGTGAGGTATATTGTAAAAAGGCAATAAATAGGGGCCACAGAGAAATCAAGGGGCAATGTCAAGTCTAGGGTACAAGCCTCCTTTGAGATCACAGTCAAGAAACTTCCTTCAGTATAACGTTGACAGTGAACTTTCAGCAACTCTTGATACACAGTTTATGACATTCTGTAGCTACAGTAAGACTTCATTATGTATTACATTTAAAAACACTGTTTTCTTGTTTTGGTCTTAATAAAAAGGGAAAAGGTTACAGATTAGCTAATTCTTCAGTAGGAACTCTCTCAAACTAAAGAAGCAAAGGCATTATTTTTAAACCTATTGTGCAAAGAATATGCAATAAAATGAAGACGGTCATCAGACAGACAAGTGAGGTGGATGAACAGGCTAAACAAACAGTATTACTGCCAAGTGGAATATTACATTTTAGAATATTTGCATTTACAGGTTATTTTAAATAAAAGTGTACTTTTGTTTAAAAATGCAATAAGAATAAAGCAGACAGAGTTAACTAAATCTTAATTCATGAACATTTTGTGTAATTGTCCACAAACGCAGAAATGTAGAGTATTTGGAATGCAAACATTTTTGTATTACATTGACTGAGAAATAGTTAATATATAGAATGATGGAAAATTAATTATACTCAATATTTAACAAGTCATAGACTAGTGATTCATTTCTTATGTTCAAATAATGATAGGACTTATGTTGAAAAATGGACTGGTTTAAATAAACGTTCAGTGCATGTAGGATTCCACAGGGCCTTGAAAAGAAGAAAACAAAAAGAAATGAATGACAAATTAATAAAATGAAATGAAAATTTAAATGAAGTTTTAAAATGTTTAACACTGAAATAAAAACACAAACACAAAATCATATTTTTTATGATTTTCTAAGTCTAAAATGTTATTAAATATAGAGACTATTTACATTAGCATTTCTTAAAAGCTACCAAATTCCAATTAAGTAGACTTCACTACAAATCATGAGATGAAAAAAGAGAAGATTGATTATAATAATCGAATTATTTCATTGGCAATATATATGAGTACAAACATAACAACTTTACCTAATTCTTTATGCATTCCTGAAGTAAAACACTATCCGCAATTAAATAATTATCAAGAAAATTTAACCATGATTCTTTGTATTTTTCTATGTCACAGTGCTCATCTTAAGTCCTAATCAAAAAGTTCCAACAAAATGTTTACTATTATGTACAAATTGCAATCTTCAATTCTCTAAACATTATGGCAACTTTCACCATTTCCATTATTCATTTCACCCTTTCAAAAAGCAACTCCATTCTGTAAATATGACAGGTATAAAAATTTTAATTTCTAAGAATTACAGAATATGTTGCCCAGGAACATAGAATTTAGAGATATAAATGAATACGCAGTACTACAAGACAATAGATTATATGTTAATATAAATATAGGCCATAAATGTATCAGTAGAGTAATCTGATAACAACATACTGAACTGGTAACTCTAAGAAGATGGTAAGTCAGATAAGAAGGGTAAAATTTTAACAGTTATGGATGCTGGCTAGAGCAAAGAAGATTTTATCCTATGGATCTTACTGAGTTATTCTGTATGTAAGCATCTGACAGAGAGACACAGAGAACAAAATGATATAAACTGTGCCTTTATGTACACTTTTTGTGTGTATAATCAACAAGGAATAAGACAAGACTAAACCAAATGTAAAGAAGCCCTGCAGCAACAGGAAGTACTGGCAGGCAGCTGTTCTGACAGCATGATTTTCCCAGCTTAGATCCCTGTTGCAGTGCTGTGAACAGCTGACCTATGACAGTACTTCTTGAACTCTTTCCTAGGCACACCCCCCTTCCCTTCCTCTGGTTGCTCTTCGTTGCCTCTTTCTGCTGACTGTCTTCAATGTGTTTATTAACATGGACAGTTCTCTAGATTCTTTCTTTGTTTTCTAATTGATTGTTTTCACTCAACTATACTATAAGACTTATGAAGTGTAAAATTCCATGGTTCGCTTTTGCTTCTGTGTCAGTGCTTAGAATACAAACTTTTTCAATGACTATAAAGATATTATCTGTGATAAAAAAGAAACTCGGTGCTACAACTATACATTATACACAGAGCAAGATGTATATGTGCCAACCACACAGGTTTTAATTTAAACATCAAACAAACACTTACTATCTGCTAGGCCATCAAGAGAGACCTAAACATTAAGGAGATGCCTTGTGAAACAAATGAAAATGGAGATGGACTATGTTATATTTTAGGTATTTTAGAAAAAAATGGAGAGCTGATTTCCTATGTAATCCAAGATTCCTAATATTCCTGTCTTCAAAAAAATTCTAACCCAGACCCATCTTTTAGTATTCTATAAAAGACCTAGCAAATGAAGGGAAAATGCCCTAATAGGTTGAATATGTTCAAGAGACAAATAGTCATTAAAATATATAACATTACCATTTCTCTTTCCATAAAATTCATGTTATTCTACAACTTGCTATGTAAAAAGGACAAAATGATCTCTCCTTTTCTGAGTAATATTTAGCTCAGAGAACACAGGAGTATGCTAGGCAAATCTTAGACCTTAACTGATGACAACCAATGGCTTTCACTGATTACTTCATAAAGACAATAATGTGAAAACTTGAATTCCTCTTTATTTGTCACTCCAAGGTTTTCATACATTAAGAAAATCAGTTATGAATGTACATTCCTGAGCTATAAAGCATAATAATGA